TCGGAGGCGGAGACGAGGAGGAGAGCTCCCCGCCCGGCGCTGGAATACAGGTAAGTTTAACCCCTTTCCTAGCCATCCAGCCCGGCGGGAGGGGGTCCCTGAGGGTGGGGTCACCCTCAGGGCACTATAGTGCCAGGAAAAAGAGTATGTTTTCCTGGCACTATAGTGGGCCTTTAAGTGAAATGCAAAATACTTTTTAGCAAGTGGCTCTCAATCCCGAAACATTATGCACCCAGCCTGTATTACTGCCTGTATTACTGCATGCAGTACAACTAATACTGAGCGGTGAGTACTGATCAGACAGATTCTCAAATGTATGGCTAATACCACTAGGTGTCAGACTTGAGCTCTTTTTGTGCAGTGGCAAGCTCAGCTCTTGCAGAGATAGATTAGAGAGGGATATAGGGCCCAGTGCTATTTAGAAAAGGGAACTAACACCAGAGTGTTTTGCTTGCTTGGTTACTATTTCTTTTATTTAATCTAATTGTAAAATGTTTTCTTTAAAAAATAAAACAAGCAATACCGTTCTTTATTGGGCTGATCTTATTTCTCTTGCATATATTGGCCTCTGTATTTTAAATACATACCGGTATTAGTATGAAATTAAATGTTGTTTTTTGGTTTTTTTTAAAGCTATCACAAACAGAAACACTTTCTGACTATCCTATTATTATGTACTGAATATGGAAACATTATGGAGAAGTATTGCTTTAAAATCAGTAAATAAAACCATGTAAAATAATAGCTTAAAGGGACAGTGCAAGCTGTATAGAAACCACACAATCCTCAGAGTGGCGCAGGATTTGCATCAAACCAGGAAATTCAGTAGAAAAATAAATTAAGCATTGACTTTGTATAAATATTTATTGTGATGTATTATAAGTAATAAAGAATGCCTCTTTACAGATGATCTTGGTGTGTAATGGATATAATTCTGTATAGTATATAGGGTATTGATTATGTTTTTTAGCACCCAATATACTTTAATTCAAACCTTCACATAAAAAGAGTGTTTCTCAGTATTGTTTAATTGTGGTCGGGGACAAAAAGTAGTACTTAAAGGACCATTATAGGCACCGAGACCACTTCAGCTCAATGAAGTGGTTTGGGTGCCAGGTCCATCTGCAGGCATAGGCAACCTTCGGCACTCCAGATGTTTTGGACTACACCTCCTATGATGCTTTGCCAGCACTATGGGTGTCAGAGCATTATGGGGGATGTAGCCCAAAACATCTGGGCTGCCCGAGGTTGCCTATCTCTGTTCTAGTGTTTACCCTGCAGCTGTAAACATAACAGTTTCAGAAAAACTGCTATGTTTACAATAGGGTTAATCCAGCCTCTAATGGTTGTCTCATTGACAGCTGCTAGAGGCGCTTCCGCGATTCTCACTGTGAAAATCATTAAGAAATGCTTTCCTATGGACTGATTGAATGCTCTCGCGGGACGTCGGAAGAGGGAGGAGAGTTCCCCAGCGCCGAGGGAGCCCAACGCTGGAGAAAGGGAAGAGTTTAACCTCCCTTCAGCCCAGCGAGAGTGGGACCCTGAGGGTGGGGGGACCTAAAGATCCTATAGTGCCAGGAAAACGAGTGAGTTTTCCTGGCACTATAGTGGTCCTTTAAGCCTAACTACCTGCGGCATAATCGATTGAAGTTTGCCGGAATGACAGTTGGCTAAGGAGGGCGGGTGGAGGGTAAATAGAGGGCGGTGAGGAGGGTGTGGTTTTGCCAGAACGCCTGCGATCTTGAGGTACGAGCCATGAGCATTTTTAAAGGCAGAGTAACCTCTCCCATAAGTACAGGACTAATGGCCTGAACATTTATATATAGTCCCCCCCCCCCAGGAAAAAATAGCCAGCCCTCCCCAATGTACAGGGTCCATTTCTGGGTACATCACAAAGCTAACAGCTGGAAAAACAACTTCGAGATCCACAAGTCCCTAAACAATATAGAACAATAATTCTGGACAGAAAAGGGAAACATGTGATTGAAAGGAGGGAGTAGAAAGGGTGCTACTATGGAGCAAAACTAATTAGTACTAATTGTGTATTGTTAATAAACAAACAAAAGAAGATTAAAAAAACATTGCACATTGCACAAAACAAATATCAAGTATGTCAAAGAAAAATCAGTAATGTTTTTAATTTGTCTTATTATTCAAATGCAGATAAACATGTTTAGTCATGGATTATACTCAAGGCTCATCAAAATGCAGTAGACTTTAAAAGTTACAAAGGAAATGCAATCAATCACTGTCAGTAAACAGACTGAAATAATCACATTTATAATGACTTATTGATTAATCATGTCCAGATTATAGCTTTGATTCTCAGTTATTGGCCTCATTACAATGTCACATGTGTTCAAACCAGGACAAAATAATATAATGATCAGATGGTCTCTCTCTCAATCTTTCTCTCTTCCTTCCTCTCTCTCCAGCTCTTGGTATTGCGTATACAGAATTTCCTATTTTCCACTTTTTAGGGATCAAAAGCATTAAAGGAACAGTAAAGCATTCGGAATACAGTTTTTTATTACTAACAATTTAATGTCTCTGTTCCTACGTATATTCAGCCCTCCTCCACCATGTGCAGTAAAAATTAAAAATACATTTTTACTCACCTTTTTCCACCACTGGATGCTAACCTCTCCTCCTCCTGCGCCCGTGGGCTGAGGCAGGCAGGGGAGATCACAGGATCTCCCTAGCTGGTCAATGCAGGGCCCTCACCATCCGAGCACCGGCCCTGCTGTGTGCCTTCATGGGCCGGTGGGGAGATCAAAGATCTCCCTCACCGACCCACAGGCAGTTACATGCAGCCACCGTCTGGGAGGGAGAGAGACAAGAGGGGGCCTGGAGGTGCTCTATCTCACAGCTCAGCTGGGTTCCTCTCACGAGACCTGGAGCGTTGCCATGGCCCCACAGGCTAGAGTTCACTCACCACTAGGACCACCAGGGATAGCAGCAGCTTACCCGTTCCAGGCATAAGGTAAGAAAGGAGGGAGGATACAATTAATTCTTATTAATTTATTTTTAATTAATATATATTGATAATAATCTGCCCACCAACACACAAGCCCTCCAAACATATTCACACACCAGCACACACACACACACACACTGCACCCCTTACACTCACAGCACCCTCACTCTCACACACACACACACTGCACCCCTGACACTTACAGCACCCTCACTCACACACACACTGCACCCCTGACCCTCACAGCACCCTCACTCACACACACACACTGCACCCCTGACATTCACAGCACCCTCACTCACACACATAGCACCCTCAATCACACACACACACTGCACCACTGACACTCACAGCACCCTCACTCACACATACACACACACTGCTCCCCTGACAATTACAGCACCCTCACTTAAACACACACACTGCACCCCTGACACTCACAGAACCCTCACTCAAACACACACACTGCACTCCTGACCCTCACAGCACCCTCATTCACACTCACACACACACACACACACTGCACCCCTGACACGTACAGCACCCTCACCCACACACACACTGCACCCCTGACACTCATAGCACCCTCACTCAAACACACACACTGCACTCCTGACCCTCACAGCACCCTCACTCACACACACACACTGCACCCTTGCATTCACAGCACCCTCACTCACACACATAGCACCCTCAATCACACACATACACACACACACACTGCACCCCTGACACTCACAGCACCCACACACACTGCACCCCTGACACTCACTTCACCCTCACTCACACACACAGCACAGCACCCTTACTCACACACACACACACACTGTACCCCTGACAATCACAGCACCCTCACACACACTGCACCCCTGGCACACACAGCACCCTCACACACAGCTTCCTCACACACATAACACCCTCACTCCCACACAGCACCCTCACACACACTGCACCCCTCATTTACACACAACACACACACACACCACCCTTACCCAAACAGCATCCTCACACACACACTGCTTCCCTCTTGCATATACACTACACCCCTCACACACACACACATCACACTGCACCCTCACACACACACTGAAGATGGCATTTTTGTCTCCTGGTATCCCATCTATAGAGACACCAGAGACAAATGTCAAGCAATTATAGTGCAAGCATGTTATTAAATTTGCTTGCGCTCCGCAGAACAAATACAGGGCTTTTTCCTCATGCTAGAGGTCTTCAGCTGAGCTCTGTGCATGTTCTGCCCTGGAAGAGCATTGAACCAACATGCTCACTTTGTGATGAGGCGTGCTTGTCATTGGTGATGACAAAACACATCCTATTTGGTCCTGTCCCCTTTTCAGTGAGCCGCTGTAATTAAAAAATGCCCAGGTCGACTTTTCCTCCCAGTCCGGCCCTGCTTCCAGCAATAGTACAATCCAATGCTCCTTATATTTGAGTATTGGGGACCTGATGTGCATGCTTCCCCATAAGAAAACATTAAATCAATGTTCTCCTATGGGGATTCCATGTCATGTGACCAAATCGCAGGATTAAAAGAACCGGACCACTGCACCCAGACCACTCCATCTCAATGAAGTTGCCTGGGTGACTTTAGTGGTCCTTTAAAAGATAAAAACTTGGGCCGATTACAATGTATAGTTTAAACTTGGGAACGTTTTTAGAGCTAAACACATCTAGCTATAAACACAGCTGTTCAGAACGTTGGTTTGCTGAATGGGACTTCATGAAAGTATTCCCTGATGTGAGTGAAGGTTGTCATCCTGACGGCAGTGGTGCAGTACATTTCTAGGGCTGACAAATCTCAGCAAGAAGAATGGAATGACATTGTCAAGATGAGTAACCAAACAATCTAACATGTGTCTGTCTCCTTCTTTCTGTTTACATCTAGACCTGTATCCAGTCATATTACTATTTACATCTAACCTAGATGCTGAATGGGTCCTAAAATGGGGTAGGCAACACTTTATATGCTGCAGCTTACACGGCCCATAATTCTGGCAAAGCATCATGGGAGATGTAGTCAACAACATCTGGAATGCCGAAGGTTGCCTGCCTCTGCCTTAAAATAATGATACTCGGTAAGCTGATATAATCATGTATCAGAAGTTTGTCGTGGCCTGCTCGTTTAGCTAGCTGTGACACAGATAGGTTAACGTTCACACTATATCTCGAAATATCACTTTATGTTCTATATGCCAACTGTACAATCATTGTTGAAAAATGAAGCTATAATTCCATGGTTTTTGCAGGTGTTGGAGTGGAAACGGCACTTGCTTTGTATGTGAGAGCAATAAAAGCTAATCCAGAGGTGGAAGTGAATTAGACAGGATTCTTTCACCATACACAATTCTACAGATGTCCTCATTTCACAGGCCCATTCTCCCGTAGGACTTAGTCTAGCTACAGGTTTTCAGACAGAATAGCTTTTAATGGAAACAAATTTATCCAAAGCACATAGTATGTATATAGACTCATAACTTTAGTCACCTGTGTTTTTATTTTATTATTTTTTTTAAATATTATGGGTTCCTTCTGTTCTTCCACTTTGCTAATATTTGTTATTACCATTACATTATATTTTACCCCTATATTATTAAAGAATGAGCCACTAACAAATTTAAACTTTTGGTTGCTGGAGTGCCAGGGAATATATATCTGTGTAGACCTGCCCAGCATTACATACGTTAGACTAGAGAATGCATAGGTCGAAATATTCAGCAATATATTTTTTTTATCCAGTATAGTATAAAAAATTGTTTAACAATAGACCATGGGTTAATCCCTGATGGAGGCTGGTGCTAGGCTGGACAGGAGCAGTATTGAAATGTTACTTTATAAATGATAGTGAATCTAGGTAACAGAAAATCCCCTGAGGCTAGAACAATTGGACGGATATTAATGTCTAAAATAAATTAGATACGTGTGACTATGAATTAACCTCTGTGTTTGCTTTTCTTGGCCTGAATGATTGCACTGTTTTTTTTCTGTTCTGTGACTTTACCATTTTCACTTTTACATGGTTACTCTCTAAACTCAGAATTTTTGCAAACTAAATCTGAGTGACAAATCTGAGGCAAAAATGTGAAAGTAACATGTTCTGACTATGGCTGAGGTGGAGAATGTTTCCAGATGGATTATTTATGCCTCTGTTTTTCCATTTCACTTTGTGAGTTTGAGGTTAGTGAATAACTCTGAGAGTTTTTGCAGTTTTAGAATGAGTCTCTATTGAAACATACCTTTAAAGTACCATTACTACATAGATTGATGCGTGCATTATTTAGCAAGAAGCTCCCTGTCCATGTCTTCCTACTAACTTCAGCCATCACTTAAATGTCTCTTATGTGAAGACATCCTTTGGCCTGACCTTGGAATCATTTGAACACAGTGTGATATGGTTTTAAGTTGAAATTATCACACAATGAATATACAACACTCACAAACGTGTAGAATAGTTAATAGTTGATATTTGTTACTGGTGCCATAATAAAATTCCTTTTATTGGAAACCTCAGAATCCTGATTTTTGTCTGGTACCCGGTTGAGAGTGGTAACCCTAAGGAGGCTATAGCCCACTATCATCTTCGGGGGAGGTACCTTTGAAACACTTGAAATTCGACATGTTTGTGAGTGTTATATATTCATTGCGAGATAATTCCAACAAAACAATGTCACACTATGCTTTGCTTGTTAATTTGTTTTTAGGATATATCAGCTGTATCCAAAGTATTTTTGTCTATATATTGTTTTATCTATAAAAGATCACCACCTGGCTGGTGATCTGGTGGAAGCTGAACATAATTTGAAGATGTCATTTTTGTTTTTGCACTTTAGTGGTGTAGGTTGTACATATCTATTGTTCTTTTAAATTGTAATTTTGTCAGCAGAGCCATTAAAACCTATTGCTTCTCTCTGTCAAAGTTAGACTAAAGTCTAAATAGGAATTCAAATCGAATTTCAAGTTACACAAACTGAAAATATAGTTGAAATGATTCAATGTGGCTATAATGACACAAATGTCAAATTCACATGGAATCCACTTTGAATTCTTGACAATTCGCACTTCACTGTATAATCCTGAAAGTTAAAGGTAAAGAAGAACAGAAAACTATAAACAAAAGACACTGAAAACTCAGAAATCAAATATAAAGTATAATCTGTTCCCATATTCAGCCAAGTTCAGTCATTGTCTTGTGCTTATTGTCTTTACCTTAAGTCCCACACCCACTATTAATAATATCGAGGTAAAGGGGCACCTCCTGTCTTGTTTCCTGGATACTCTGTATAAAGCCTTTTTTCAACCTTTGTTCTATCTTGCATTCAATGTGTTTCAGCTTTTGTGACCACTAAAGCTGTCAAGAGAAGACAATTCCATACATCTGATCCCTACGATGGCTAAATTAGTGATACTCCGTATCATATTTGCACCTTTTCTATTATGTGTGTCAATTCAGATCCAGGCAGACAAAAGTTCCCACTGGTAGGCTTCTGTAGCTCTCTCCTATATTAAAAAAAAACAAACCCAAAATCTGGGGGGATAGGGGTGGGATTTCTCATTCTCACATTTTCACAATTTTTCAACTGTCAAAAATGATAATTTTCATACAAATTAAATAGTACTTTTTCTGTAGTACTATGTATCTGTAGTAAAACATGTGTCATGACAACCCATCATGTTTTGGTGAAAGCTACTAGATATTATGGAACATGGAATTTACCCCAAAGCTACAGTAAAATAATATCTTCTCTATTCTTGTCACTTTCATTAAATATTTCATTTAACAGTTTAGCACTAATTTTCCTTGATATTTATTGGTCCGATAAGCATCACACACAATCTTTAAAGGAACAGAAAGCTCACATGAAGTTTTAAATTTGGGTGATAGGGATAATTCATGTTTATTTTAGTATATATTCTTGGAAATACAGTAATGTAAATCATCCGTGCACGAAGGGTTTACATGGGGAGGCTATATCAGTTCATCAGTTGTCTTGATAATATGGAATTTACACTTCCGCAGTATCATATCAATTTTATCCAACATAGCCAGAAGGAATAGGTCAAGAGAGCTGTTATATTGTTTACACCAAGTATACATGGGGTTGGTAGTGAAGAGAACAATTTTAGTGCACAGCAATGTACCACATATCCCTCCTAGACAGCTGTATCGTCTAACCAATTCAAATTTACAATTTGGCAGACTGACAACTGTCTTTAATTTTGACAATGGGTGCCTTAAATACCACCTGAAAGGAGACTACGCATGTGCAAAACCAGGACAGATTTCATAAACAGCTTGTTCTGGGAATGTATTTATTCATTTTTGTTTATGATTGGTTGCTCTGAACTGCCTCTCCAGCAGCCCTGAGTGTAGGGGGGGCTACACAACTGTAGCCCTGTAACCATTACAGAGACACATTTTACCAAGATTCGACTTGTGCTTTTGTATTTTGTATTTGTCATGATTTCTGCAAAACCAAGTGTAAATTAGCACACGATATCATAAAACATCCCCACGAAAAGTGGAATGGCACTCAGTCCTGTAGTAAATGTAGATAGGAGAGTAATCAGGATGCATGAATCTGTCACTGAGCAAGTTCTGATACAGTATGCGCTCACAAACACCCGTCTCGTATGTCCATCCATGTTGCAGTAAGACACCTGTCTTGTATGTCCATCCATGTTGCAGTAAGACACCTGTCTTGTATGTCCACCCATGTTGCAGTAAGACACCTGTCTTGTATGTCCATCCATGTTGCAGTAAGACACCTGTCTTGTATTTCCATCCATGTTGCAGTAAGACACCTGTCTTGTATGTCCATCCATGTTGCAGTAAGACACCTGTCTTGTATTTCCATCCATGTTGCAGTAAGACACCTGTCTTGTATGTCCATCCATGTTGCAGTAAGACACCTGTCTCGTATGTCCACCCATGTTGCAGTAAGGCACCTGTCTTGTATGTCCACCCATGTTGCAGTAAGACACCTTTCTCGTATGTCCATCCATGTTGCAGTAAGACACCTGTCTCGTATGTCCACCCATGTTGCAGTAAGGCACCTGTCTTGTATGTCCATCCATGTTGCAGTAAGACACCTGTCTCGTATGTCCACCCATGTTGCAGTAAGACACCTGTCTCGTATGTCCACCCATGTTGCAGTAAGACACCTGTCTCGTATGTCCACCCATGTTGCAGTAAGGCAACTGTTTCCATCCATTTTGCATTGAGCTGAAGTTGATATGGTGCCTGTGTGTTATTATAAATCAATAATACTCCAATAACTGTAAGCAAGTGCTACTGTTTGTTTCTACCAGAGTTCCAGCAATGACAGTCGTCTCCCTGTGCTTCTTGTCTGATTGGTAATTTGGTATAGCCTTTGGAGGCTTTCACTTGAAATCTGTCAGTGAGACACAGGCTCTGCTAAACAAATACATCTTAGTGTGGTTTCAACCCAACCATTGTACTGCTGGCTCTTTGCCCCTGGGGTCAAAAGGCAATAGCAAATGCAGCACTCAGATTTAGGACAGAAACAGAATAAAGACACATCTTAACTGCAAAGTATTCTGTGATTGCTGTCTTTATTCCATTCCAAGTGGAACCTACATTGTTTTGGCCTTTATCAAGGAATGTTAAGTGTTGCAGAGTTCATTTACTGGTTCTTAATTACTATAAGGTCCCAAGGCAGGGACCCCCAAAACCCAACTACTCTTATTCGTAGCTTTGTAATTGGCTGCTGTCTTCCACACTCATTTTCTTTTACTGTTTGAAAGAGGTCAATGTAGCAGTTGAGGTTTTTGCATTAGAGTGCTATACATCAAGAACACTCTTGCTTAATCTTCTGTTAATATTTTTCAAAAATAAAGAAATACAGATGGTTTGTCTGGAATACAGAGGTTATGCCTTGCTAAATTGTAAATAAAATAAACATTTACATTTTATAATTAGATATCAGTAGACATGGTTGCGTAATACCTGTTAATGGCTTAATAAACTGCTAAATGTAATTTGTTTAAAAAAGGGGGGCACACACGGAACATGCATTACACAGTAGCGGTGCTGCAGTAAAGGCCAAAATGTATTCAACATACAGATTAAGAAACAGCGCTCACACAAAAAATAAAGTTTTACATTTTACAAGGCTATTTAAAATGACCTATCAATCAACACCACTACTGATAAAATGCATGGTCCGGGATTGCCCCCAAAGGCTTCACTTTAATAGAACACTGATATTTCAAAACAAAGTATTTCTCATTCATAAACTGAATTATTTTGAGTTACTATTTTCTGTTTAATTTTTCACCATTTTGTGCCCACCTTTTTAACGTTCTCTGTTAATAACATTTAAATAGTGAAATTATATATTAGACATCAGATCCTTGTATACTTTTCCTTAAAGCCATAATCTCAAACTTTGAATCATGCATTATTGATTTAACCCCTTAAGGACACATGACATGTGTGACATGTCATGATTCCCTTTTATTCCAGAAGTCTGGTCCTTAAGGGGTTAAATATACATGTATGAACTTATATAAAATAAATATTATCTGATTCCTGAAATATAAAGTGCTGGAAAGATACCAACAGAAAAAAAACAGCCACAGAAAACGGGTTGAAAACTGGAGTTATTATTATTATTATTTATAAACGCCAACAGATTCCACAAGCTGTACAATGGGTGGACTAACAGACACGTAATTGTAACCAGACGAGTTGGACGCCCAGGAACAGAAGGGGTTGAGGGCCCTGCTCAATGAGTTCATTTGCTAGAGGGAATGGGGTATAGCGACACAAAAGGTAAAGCGTTAGGTAAAGTGTTGTAAATATATGCCCGAATTTTAGATTGAGCCCTATTTCTCATGGGAAGACAATTTAGGGACTGACAGAGGGGGAGGGCATTGGAGGTGAGGAAGATGAATGTCGCCACCGCATTCATTATGAACTATAACGGGGCAAGTTATAGTAGATTGCAGTACTGAGAAGTAGATTGCAGTAGTCAAGATGAGAGAAGATAGTAGCATGGACCAGCACCCTAGCTGCGTCCAGCGTTAAATAGTGGTAGGTGTTTTTAAAATGAAAGTGGCAGGATAGAGAAGAATAGGGGCAGGGACAATATATTGTTAGGAATACAGATTTGTGTTACTTTAAACAGATAGCTGTCCAAAGGCCCGAATTAGTGCACTGTAACATTAATCTGGAACATACAGAGAGGTATGAAAAAGATTTTACACAGTTACAATTTAACAATGTCAAGTCTTTAAAGTATGTGATTGTTTTATGTAAATTCTGATAATCTAATGTAACTCATTTCCAAAAAGAATCTAGAGCCCATTGTATTCAAATACTTTCATGTATTTAATTGCTGATTTAAATAATTTATTTAATAATTGTATCATAATTAAGTCACACAAGTAAAATGTTACTCATTTCTAAATATACAGACCATGTGAATAGTAATTTGAAAGCATAACATAACAAATGGACTGACTACATACTATTTACTAAAGGGAGAATTTAAAGTAAATGCACAGTGAATTTTAAATTCTATTTTGAATTTAAATTCACTTTGAATTCTCATTTTAGTGAATAATCCTGATTATGTTGTCAAGGCTAAGATAGAAGCAAAACATTTAAGAAGCCACATTTTGAAAGAACTTTAAGAGTTTTGTTCCAAACCAACTTGAGTATCTGAGATTGACGATACTCTTCCAATTCAGGGCTTGTGAAGTTTTATAAAGTTTTGTTTTGGTTTTTATATATTATATATCTAGGATAAATAATGGTGAAGTCCATACTATGCCCCACATAGGTTATGAAAACAGCATTTTTCTTCATTATGCAACTTTTCCATTACATCATTATTTTAGGGTTTATGCTAGGGTTATGGCTGGGTTTTAGGTTAGTTAGTGGTTTGGATAAAGGCTAGACATGGCCAGGGATGCTTGACACTGGTGGAAGTTACACTCCCAGGTGTCATGTATTCACTCCTGTTATTGTTAGACTGGCAAAGAAACTGTGGAGACAAAATTGCACTGTTTTGGTTTAGTCATCTTCTCACCTGACATGCAATTCACTAATGAGAGAGGGCCGAATTAAAATGGACACAGCTACGGCTGTCTGTTTGTCTATCTATCTATCTATCTATCTATCTATCTATCTATCTATTTATATCTATCTATCTATCTATCTATCTTCTATCTCTATCTATCTATCGATCTATCTATAATCTATATGTCTAGCTATCGATCTATCTATAATCTATATGTCTATCTATTGAGCTATCTAAATACATATATACTATACACTACTGGCTTTCTTTCCCATGTGTGATTCCCTTCTTGGCCTTAGTTTTTAGACGAGTTTGTCAGGAGTGACTGTACTGTTCAGTCGCCCAAGTGCCATACTTGTTTGATCATTTCTTTATACAGTCATGAACAAAAGCAGAACTGAAGAAGGTGTCATAAAATATGAAAAGATTACACATCAATGTGGCAGACAGATAGAAGAGAAAGCCAGGAGAAAGTTTCTTCCATACATATGTTAGCAATATTTCTGTATGATGGAACACAATGTCTGTCCAAAGCACTTCACATCTTTTCCATTATGCTTTAGTTAAAGAGCTGAGATTCCAAAAAAAAAAAAAAGTCTGTTTGTGTGGTCTCAATACGAGCTGGGTGTTTTTCTATACTGTGTATGATGACACAGTGAGCTTAGACATGTCAGATAGTTATAATCTCCAATGCATACCATCAGGGTAGTTGCAGGGAATCGTTACTTGGCAGGGTGCTAGATATGAACCCCCATTTGTGCACCCTAACTTTTACTTAAAGGGTTACTCCAAGCACCTTGACCACTTCAGTGATTTGAAGTGACATGAAGTCTGTGTGTGCAGCCTTTCACTATGAAAGAGAGATTAACCCCTAAGCTGCCAGATGTGTAACCAAATTGGCATCTTGTGCCAGCATGCACAGCATGCTGGCGCCCCCCTCTGTGCCGCCCCAGTCCTACTTTTTGTAGAAGAAAAAAAGCGAAGACGAACAGGCTAAGGGAGAGCTTAGACCTAGCATTTGAATTGAGGTAAGTTTTAGAGTTTCTGTTATTTAATTATTTTAATTTGGGGGAGGTGGATCATCTCAGAAAGAGTGTTTTACTGCCTTGTAACACGTCTAGTGGCAGTCACTCAGACGGCCACTAGAGGTGCTTCCTGGATCAGTGATGCTCAGTATGCAACACTGGTTTTCAGCGTCTCCACACTCTGCATGTAGGCACTGATAGTTCCCCATAGAGATGCATTGATTCAACGATGAGGAGATACAGACTGATGCAGAGCGGCGTTTTGACGTGTATGCGCAATAGCTTCCCAGTGCTTTCCTATGCAATTGATAATCTCAGTGTTAGTGACAAGGCCAGCCTTGGCGAGACTGGCGCTGCAAGTGAGAAAAGTTGGGTAAAAACAGAGGCGGAGAGGGGGCGGTCATCTAAATAGTTAGTTAAACACTATAGTGTCAGGAATACATGTTTGTATTGTATATTGTGTATGTGCTGTTCTTTTAAATTCTCAGAACTATCCCGTCTATCACCTAACCTTCTAAAGCAGTAGGAGGGTGGAACACCCTCTTTGATATAACCTATAATACCGCACTATGGCTTTCACAATCACAGACAGAAATAATATGATTACATCGCTATTTATCCACAATGCATACATTTAGCTATCACTTGTTTTCAAATATATTTCTGTTGGGTGTTGGTGCTAAAATTGCCCAATTTAATGCTACTGACTGAAGGACAAAGGACTGAGTGAACCCTGCTGGGAATTAATTGAACCAACAATGAACCAAGAACAGCATCATGCAATGCTTCTTGTCTCTTTAAATCAGAGTCTATCCATTGTTGGTTTAGAGGGTGACCAAATATTCCAGGGTTTTAAATCATTCATTTCAAGGCTTCCTGTGTCTGCATCCTATCTGGGTGCTTTTGAAGATTGTTTTATTTACTTTATTTAACCAAAGTTTTCTGTTAATTATCAAACCAATCCACACATTTTCCTTTCTACCACTTTGTTTGGTTAATGGAGTTACGTTAGTGACTTAATTAGTTTATAGAGATCTGGGAAGGAATCATAATTACCAAGCAGGGATAGAGTATAATTAAAGGCGGAAAATGGAGAAATCAAAAGATAAATGTGAAAGAAAACAACTATAATGATAATTTTTTATTTTGTGTATTTATTGTTTTTAATCCTGCCTGCTTTAAACGCAATCTTAAGTGGTTTTTCTGAGCATTCTGTTTTATATCTGTTGCCAGTTTCCATATCACATAATGTTTTCCATTACTGAAACCTTGTAATTCACTTCTCGGTGTCGCAGTATTTGATCTTTGCTTTTACTTTTTTTTTTAATTTTTAGGAGAATTACTTTCTTTGGCAATAGGGGCTGGTAATATGTTAGAAAACACCGCAGTAAAATCAACTTCACTTTAAAAGATCTACGCTCTAGTAAACCTACTCCTGTGAATTAGTCTTGCTTTAGTAAAAGTGTGCCAAAGCATCCCCTTCTAAAGGTTGTTATACACTAATCCACAAATTGATAAGAATTTTAGAAGAACTACACATTTAGGTCAAAATAGCTAAAATAAAACAAGATAATTTTTTTTTTTACTATAGATTTTTATCCCTCATTACGTCTCCTCATTGTCTTTTTAGTTAGCAAATCCCCAAAAATCTGCACAAATGGCTGCTCACTGTTTATCAGATATTCCCCCACCCACAGTTTTTTACTCCGTATAGTAACATGGGGGTTATATAGACCCCATATGCATTTTGTTAACTTTTTAATGTGGTGGCTGGCTGCAATCCCATCAATCCCGTGCGGCTGAGATTTTTTTTTGCTCAGCAGGCAAATAGATTGGACATTTCCAGGTATGGGTTTTAAGCACCCAGGCCTGGATTTCAATGTCCAGCAGGATTAGGACAGGCTTAAATCCATATACAATCCTGCCTCATTCTGAGCCACAATTGCAAATGCTGGACATTGTTAAATACTGTGAGCATGTCTGGATTTTTCAGTCTAAATTACTTGGTACAGTAACAGATGTTTTTTTTTAGCACGGGAACATTCAGACTGTAATAAATTAAGCAAGAAATATTTTTCTCTAAATTCTGTAAATTTTTCAGATTTTAAATTTAGACTGCATTGGCAAGGTCAGCATGGATCCCCCTGGTGCATCATGGGTAATTGCATCCCTCCATGTAGCCATGCTGTAAATTTATGTTTGCTACAATTTCACTTACACCTACTATGGCTTGGCTTTATAATATAATGTTAATCTGTTGGAAATATTTTTCCTTGATTGTAATAAAAAAAACATGTAGGTGTGAAATCTGCTTTTGTTTCAAATTATTTTTTTATATCTACAGAGGTAATGACTGTTCTAAAAAAAATACCATGCCATTCTACTCAGTGATAGCTGTAATTTTCTAAAAATTATTTGTTCACTAGATGGCGCTGCAGACATCTGAGTAACATCAGTTTAATGCGATACCTTGCTCACAGGTCTTAACTAATCATCAGCGACAAATTTTGCAAAAAAAACCCCTCTAATTCCAGTGCAATGCTTCCGCTACTAAAATTTAAACAAAACATAATTAAAAAAATACCTGCAGGCACACCAATAAAGCATTGGAAAGAGAAAAAAAACAAAAAAAAACAACTGCCTGTAGCTTTGACCCTAGACTAAGACTAATCAAAATGATTACAAAATGTTTATTAATGTTATGAATTTTGCTTGTTTTTCCGTACTAATCTATAAATTTGCCCTGTTTTAGCCCCTTTATGTAGTTTACACAAATCATAATGATTATATTTTATTTTTCTACATTGTTTGCCATAGGAATTTTTCAAATCTTTTATGTTATATACTTTTAATAGGTTCTAGGTCTATCCCCTTTACTACATTTTCTGTCTTTGATTTAGACGTTTACATTACACATTATATTGTATTTTGAAGTTCAGTGAAACACATCCACTTTTCTTTTTTTAATTCTTTATTTAAGTGACATTAAATCAGATACAAGATGATGCATTCTTTTAAAGAAGTGCAATACATGACTCTATTTTCATAAAATTTTAAAGGGAATAACATACAATGAACATAGATAAGAGAGATGAGAGGAATAAGAAAGAGAAAGATTGGTGGAACCTCCGTGGTAAGTCTATGACTACCAACTACATGAAGATGCTATGAGTTAGAGGTGTAATCACACCATGGGTCCCAATATTATAAAAAGAAGGAAAAGTTTAGTGAAAAAGTGCCATCAATTTTTCTATTAAGCGATTAACCTCAATCTTGGCAACTACCTCGCGGTGAGAAGAGTGTCTCTCTGGGCCAGGTTGATGCCAATGGCCTCTTGACAATCAGTGTCATTTTGTTTCAAACTTTAGAGCTTGTAAGAAAAATCCCTCAAGTGGTCAAGAAAGCAGAATTAGCCAAAGGTCCAGCTCAAAGGGTCTCTGAAAAAAGCCACCAGTAGGCTCCCCACCACCTCCTGCAGAAGTTCAAGGAAGTCCTACCTAGTCTAGAAATCTGCACTGGAGTTCCATGGAATCTTAAATGGACACTATAGTCACCAGTGCAACTACATGTATTCCTGACCCTATGATGTTAACACCACCATCTAGCCCCCCTGGGCCCCTCATGCTTCCATAAATATAGTAAAAATCTTACTGTATTCAAGCAAGAAGCTGTAAATCTGCATGCTGTTAGACTCAGGAAAAACAAGCAGTCTGCTGACATGTGATAGCCTGATCCAATCACAGTGCTTCCCCATAGGATTGGCTGAGACTGACAAGGAGGCAGATCAGGGGCAAAGCCAGCATGAATCAAACACAGCCCCGGCCAATCAGCATCTCCTCATAGAGATGAATTGAATCAATGAATCTCTATGAGGAAAGTTCAGTGTCTGCATGCAGTGGGAGGAGATACTGAATCACAGGATTCTTGTGCACAGCAGATCTGAGTGGATGGAGGCATATTAGAAGTCCCTCTGGTTCACTCTGAGTGACTGCAACTGGAGCTGTTCCTAGCTTTCAATGTAAACACTGTATTTTCCCAGAAAATACAGTGTTTACATGAGGAAGGCTGCAGGGAGCTATAGTTCTCACCTGAACAACCTCATTAAGCTGAAGTTGTTCAGGTGACTATAGTGTCCCTTTAACAGAATCTTAAACACCTGCTTTTGAAAAGCAACAAATATCAACATCCTAACAACTGCCTCCCAGGTATCCTCCCATGAATAATCATCCAACTCTCCTCCCTAAAAAGTTCTCACACAACCCGCTGTATCATAAGGCACACCAAATTGTGGACTTCGAGCAGATCACATCCACTTTTCCACTCTCTAATACCATTACTGCGATCAAACTTTAAGCCTCATTAGCAGCACCTGGCTCCATATAATTACATCTGATATTATATGATAAATATATACAGGGAGGGTTATTCAATAAAGTGAATATTGTCAAGAATTTTGAATTCACTTGAAATTCCTGACAATTCTCTCATTAGTGAGTAGGTCTAATAGGGCCTGTTACCTAGCTGGTTTCAGAGTGTGTTACCTTTCATGTACGTTCATGCCCAGTTATAAAATATGTTGTTTATTTTAAGACATAAGACAGTAGAACAATTACACTGAAATCAGAAAAAGTATGGTTGTGGGTTTAATAATTAAAGGGATATTATAGGCACCAGAACCACTACAGCTTAATGTAGTGGTTCTGGTGTCTATAGTCTGTCCCTGCTGTTCTTACAATGTAAATGCTGTGTTTACATTTCTGCATAGGAACACCTTGGCCACCTGTGGTGCTTCCTAGTCCAGTGCTGCACAGTGTGAAGAACTAGCGTTCATGGTCTTCACGCTCTGCATGGAGACCCTGAAAGCACCCCATACAGATGTTTTATGTAAAGTCACCTTGTTACTGCAATCTAAGGGGTGCCAGGGACCTAAATAGTTAAACACTTTAGTGTCACAAATACAAGTTTGTATTCCTGACACTAAAGTGTTCTTTTAAAAATGTACATGTACCTATGGTTAGATACCCTCTTTAGGCTCTTATACAACATGGAACAATGCAAAATGACAAGTCATGGGATGGTTTGAAACGATGCTTCAGTAAAAGGTGACAGAAAATAAACACAGAGCTTATGTCAGATCCCCAGATTATGGATAATTGTTTGTTTTCAGTCTAGAAGCATTATCTTTGCTGCGCAGGGTGGACTTAAATGCAGAAACCACAATGTTGAGACAATACCATTAGCAGCAGCTGACAAGTATCTTCCCTCCAGACAGTGATGGGGAGAATCACCCTTTATTTACATTGCGGCAGTCAATGTGCACATATCGAGACTGCAAGATCATCTGAGCAGAACCCTCTTCTCCTAGTGCATTTGCCAACATTTATTTTGCCTATTTTGCCATATCCCCACTGTGTGTGTATATGTGCAGATAGATATAGATAGATAGATAGATAGATAAATAGTCAGACAGACAAATAGATAGATAAAGATAGATAAAGATAGATAGATAGATAGATAGATAGATAGATAGATATAGATAGATAGATAGATAGATATAGAGATAGATAAATAGAGATAGATAAATAGATATAGATAGATAGATAGATAGATAAATAGATAGTCAGACAGACAAACAAACATATAGATAAAGATAGATAAAGATAGATAGATAGATAGATAGATAAAGATGGATAGATATAGATAGATAGATAGATAAAAAGATAGATAGAAAGATAGATATATAGATAGAAAGATAGATATATAGATAGAAAGATAGATAAAGATAGATAAAGATAGATAGATGGATATAAATAGATAGATAGATAGATAGATAGATAAAGATGGATAGATATAGATAGAAAGATAGATAGATAAATAGATAGTCAGACAGACAAACAGATAGATAAATATAGATAGATAAAGATAGCGAGATAGATAAAGATAGATAGATAGATAGATGGATAGATAGAGATGGAAGATAGATAGATAAATAGATAGATAAAGATAGATAGATAAAGATAGAGAGATAGATAAAGATAGATAGATAGATAGATATAAATAGAAAGATAGATAGAGAGATAGATAGATAGACAGATAGATAGATACATAGATAGTCAGACAGACAGACAGATAAAGATAGATAGATAGATAGATAAAGATAGATAGATAGATAGATAGAAAGAAAGGCAGATAGAGATAGATAGATAGATAGATAGATAGAGAGATAGATAAAGATAGAGAGATAGATAAAGATAGATAGATAGACAGACAAGCAGATAGATAAAGATAGATAGATAGATAGATAGATAAAGATAGATAGAGAGGTAGATAGATAGATAAAGACAGAGATAGATAGATAGACATATAGATATACTGATAGATAGATAGATAGATAGATAGACATATAGATATACTGATAGATAGATAGATAGATAGATAGATAGATAGATAGATAGATAGATACCAGGACTCCACATTTTAGGTAATGTATAGACACAAAGAGGAGAGCACTCACAGAACTTGCTTTAAATAGTGACCTGATTTATTTTCTATTAAGCAGTAATAAGTATGACGGCAGAGTGATCAATGTTTCAAGCTTTATATCAGGACTTTTATCAAGACAGGTACACAATGCTTAAGGACCTTTAAGTAGGCCGCCATCCCCAAACAGAGGACATGACAAAGAGTGCATGATAACATGGGCGCATGAGAGTGAGAGTCAGTGAAAGAGAGACCTGGATCCAAAGTAAAGGTAAGCCAGACCTAGGGTAAGGTGTAAATTGTACAAAAACAGAAGACTGTAGGTGGACTAAAACATTGTAACAAAAACTGTAATCTACAACACGCAGCAAATAGTGTATCGAGTCACGAGAAGCCTCAGAGGTCTGCATCTTGGTGTGCAATGACCTTCCATTGTGCCCTCTCCTGATGGTCCTCCATCTGTTATATACATATATCTTTTTATATATATCTATGAAGAGAGAGAGAGAAATACATATTTTCATAAGTCACTAGTGAAATAATGTACAAGTTACATTTTAACTTTACAAGTAACCTCTTAATGCAGACATCTCTAATCCTTTTAGTGGGCGTTATAGGGCGGACTCTTTGGGATCAGTCCTGTAGGGTTTTATCAAACTATCATTGATTTTTAGACAATATCTGTGGCTCCTCTGCTTGTGCTGTGATAATGCAAATGATTCAATTCTGCATTATCTGCACAAAACTGCCCACTTGTGGATGGCATTGATAGTCTGTAAGTGGCTCTTATTGTTGTCCAAATTAAGTAAATTAAGGTGCTTAGAGTATCCATTTAAAAGCAAAATATACCCTTATCCATTAAATCCATCATTAAATCTCTTTGATCAGACGGTTACTGATTAAAAATCTCTCCCAAATAGATTGGGAACAATAGAGCCCTTTGCTGCTCATCGTTATAACAAAGCTCTCAGCAAACTCAGAATATGATAGGCAGTCAGTGACACCATAGGTGTCATGAGATATCTCTTAATTGGCATAAGCTAAATGCTGTTTGAATTCAATAGGGACAGAACAAGGAAACATTTAGATGAGAAAACGCAGCTCTCAATATGTTCCAAAGTTTGAATTTTCAATGTCTTGAAAACAACATAAGTTAATTAAGTCATGGCTACAATTGTGGGGGTATATAGACGATATTGTCACGGAGCTGTTTTATGAAGGAAGTGAGGCTATTTTTCTATCTTTTTAAGCCATGGGCACCAGGTTTTCTGCGCACTCTTAATTACATTAAGGGTTATTTACTAAAGGGCGAATTCTCCATAATTCAAAGTGAATGTCAATTTTTAGACCAAAATAGCTGAACTAGAAGCATTGCCGATCCGAAGAATTTTCTAAATTCTGGCATTTTGGCCTTTAATTTGAAATTCTCTTTGAATTACCAACAATTCCCCTTTTAGTAAATAATCCTGATTGTGTAATATCACCAATGAGAAGATTCTTACAACATGTTTAGATAAAGAAAAGCAGAAATGGTCAGATAAAGCAGTAAACAGTTGGTATAAATATGAATCTTATTTATTATTCATTTATTCAATATTATTTCATTTAGATATCAGGGCACTCTTTAATGTGATGTCTAACTGATGAGCTTTGTATCTTGGACAATTGAATTTTTTGTGACCATTTCTGATCTTTAGTGGTGCATCCACATGAAGGTTTAAAAAGATGCTACGTGCTAGTTCTGAATGGACATTGGCAGAAATAATGTAAAAACCCAGTTGCTTCGCAGTTTATTTCAGGATTCCTGTGTTCTACAGCACGCATAGGTTTATTTGGGGAGCTTACAGCTCTATGTGGCCAAATAATTGGGCTTTTTTTTTGAGAAACAGGTCCATTGTGACTTATCTATAATTATTATTTAGCAACTTTTCTCAGTTATGGTGTGTGGGAGCAGGGGAGTGTCAGGATTACTGTTTGATCCAGCACGTAGAACTGTACAGCACGGATGACAAATAAGTAACGTATTACCGGTCCTTAGAATGGCCGGATTTAACATACAAAGAATAGTCAAAAATACTAGCCGAGGTCAGGGAACACAGAAAGGGACACAGCGATGAGGAAAGCCAGGAGTCAGGATACCAGAATATAGAGAAGTCAATAAACAAAGCCAAAGTCAAAAACCAGGTAGAAAACTATAAACAGGAACGCGCTCTCGGACAACCACAAGGGAAACCACGACAGGGCACTGAGCAGGCTGAGAACTGGGCCTAAATACCCCTCCTTTCTTTCTGATAGGCTGTAACCGGCCTTTGACCCCAAAGTCAGTTACCAGGTTTCATTTGCATAATTGCTGCTCAGCATTAACCCTTCTGTGGATTAGGTTGCTGCTCGGCACAACTTTTCCTGTGTGGACAGTAAATGTCATTAACCACTTTTCTATAAGCGGATGAATACATGACACCAGGTTTCATTTGCAGAATTACTGCTCAGCATTAAACCTTCTGTGGATTAGGTTGCTGCTCGGCACAACTTTTCCTGTGTGGACAGTAAATGTCATTAACCACATTTCTATAAGCGGATGAATACATGACAGGGAGGTTGTGAGATGCTAATTTAGTCTCTCAAACAGGGTGCCTGTCATAGATTCATAGATTAACACAACTTCAGAGCTAGGCTTTGCTAATATGCAGAGCTGAACTTTTAAAAACACTCCAAACACCACAACCACTACAGTGCCCTTGTACCACGCCCCCCAATTGTAAACAGTCACACCGGTTTAGAACAATATGTATTTTTACCTCAGGTCCCCTGGGTGCCACACCTTGCCTCCAGCTGGTTAGCTCTCCTGAGCAAAGCCCTGCAGTGCAGCCAATGAGCTAAGCCATGCCCTGTCGGGCTTAGTTCAGACAGTGCACTTCGGGCTTCCTGCCGGAAGTAGTGGAGACATGGAACAGCACCCAGTGGATCACAGGTAAAATGTGGGAAATCCTGGCACAATAACCACTATGGGCACACAGTAGTGATTCCAGTGTTTGGAGTGTTAATTCCCAGATTTTACTATTAACATGACGTAAAGTCATGATTTTATTAATGACACGGAGGCGAGTATTATGCATTCTCTTTCTTTATTATACTCCCAGCAGCAAGAAAAGGAAGTATGAGAGAATCATATAAAAAAACATAACAACAGCTTGGTAACAGTGGCACCAATCAGCATCCAGTATTATCCATATGGGTGTGGTGCTCCTTGACTCCTCCTCTTTCTGCGTAGATCCCGAAGACCATAGTGTAAGTTCCAAAATATTCCAACAACACGAATTCCCGAAACAAAACCATAACCGGAAATTCAACAGGGAACAGCTTCAACCGCCAACTTTCACAGGTGTATTCAAGCTAAAAGAGAAGAAATATATGGTAATATCGAGACTTGCGACTGCTATTCCATAGTTATCCAACTCTTCCACTACGTTATTCCAACACTATAAGTATATAGAAGTATATTCATCACAAACCTTACTCACCTTCGTGTCGTGTATGACACTTTACCTACCGTATTTTGTCATTCCAAAGGTCCCATGATTGACCTGTAACTTAAACACCACCCTGGGCAGGGCGGGTGGGAATAATACTCGCCTCCGTGTCATTAATAAAATCATGACTTTACGTCATGTTAATAGTAAAATCTGGGAATTTTATTAAAGACACGGAGGCTCCTATTATGCTATTTTAAAGCTGAGCAACCACCAAACTGGAAATATGTTGTACCGGTCGAAAGTAGAAATTACGAAACGTAGACTCATTCGACCAATCAGCTGCTCGTAAGATGTCTTCCAATCTACAACCTATCATGGAAGCTTTAGAAGCCATTGCCCCGCGAATGGAGTGTGAGGAGAAAATTGAAGTGTCTATGCCTGCCACGGATAATAACCATTTGATCCAACGAGCTAAAGTAGGAGTAGATACTGGTAGGTGCGGTACTCTGAACGAGATGAATAATGGATGGGTTTGATCAGGACGGAGCGAGCTCGTGCGGTGCTCGTATTCCTTAAGGCATAACACTGGGCACAGATTAGGGTTGTCTGGAAACGACGGGTAGAAGACCTCCTTAGTTGCAGACTTTGTCCTTCGTGAAATATTGAAGGAAACTCCGTTCGGAACAAAAGCGCGTGCTTGCCAATCCAATGCTCTGACATCAGCAACCCGTTTACATGAAAGTAAACAAAACAACATCAACAGTTTGGTTGATAATTGTTTAAGAGAAAGCTCATGATTCAAAGGCCAAGACTCGAGAAAACGAAAAATCACATTGACATCCCAGAAGGAAGAATACCGAGCCTGCGGGGGTCGAGCAAACCGGATGCCTTTGAGCAAACGACAGATGAGGGTATGTTTACCTATTGGAGTACCATCCAATCCCCTATGCCTCGCTGATATCGCTGACCTGTATAGATTTATAGTCCGAAAGGCTTTACCTTCTTCAAAGAGTAGAGTCAGGAATTGTAAGATTATTTTCACAGGAGCTGATATGGGATCCACTGATTGTCCCACGCACCAATCAGTCCACTTCCTCCAAGCCGACCCGTAGGAACGTCTGGTACCTGGTGCCCAAGACTCTGCCAAGAGACTGAGTGTTGTCTGCGAAACATCCTCGAGACTCCATGTTCCCCTGAAAGGAACCATGCCATCAGGCGAAGTAGACCCTGGTCGATCAACTCGTGACTCATTCCCTCTGGATTGGTCAGGAGGTAGGGTATGTCCGGCAAGAGTCGTGGGGAATCTATCGACATTTCTAATAACTGTGGGAAACAGGGTTGTGACCTCCATAACGGGGTTATCCGCACTAGAGTCCCCTGGGAATATCGAAGGTATGCAAGGGTCCGAGAGATGAGGCTGAACGGTGGAAAAGCGTAATTCTTGCCCTTGGACCAGTCTTGTAAGAATGCGTCTGTCGCCAGCGCATCTGGGTCCGGTCTCCAACTGAAGAACCGAGGAAGTTGGGTGTTCAGCCGAGACGCGAAGAGATCTATGTTGAGAGGTCCCCAAAGTCGAGAGAGACGTTGGAAGATCATTGGGTGGAGATGCCAATCCCCTGTGTCTCGAAGATATCGAGAATTCCAATCCGCTAGTGCATTGTCCCGTCCTGGGATATATTCCGCTATTACCGAAATGTTGTGTTTTAGACAAAAGTGCCAAAAATCTCGAGCCATCAGTGCCAGAACTTTCGATTTCGTTCCTCCTAGGTGGTTGATATAACGCACCGCCGAAACGTTGTCCATCTTGATTAGGATAGAGCATGAGATGCCTGTGGGGGTCATGCTGCGAATGGCAAAGGATGCCGCTAACAGTTCTAGGCAGTTGATGTGTAACAACGTTTCTTCGTTGGACCATCTGCCACCGGTGGAAACTGAGCCACAATGCGCGCCCCAGCCGTGTAAGCTGGCGTCTGACTCTATGACCAGATCTGGCGTAGACCCGAATATCGCCCGTCCGTTCCACGCCTCCATGTGGGCTAGCCACCATGTCAACTCCTCTCTGGAATCTTCGTCCAGTGTAACACAGGTTTCGTACGAGTGTCCGGAGCGCAGATATGAGGCCTTGAGCCTTTGTAGGGCACGATAATGTAACGGGCCCGGGAAGATTGCTTGTATGGACGATGCCAGTAGCCCTATGATCCTCGCAAGTTGTCTGAGGGAAATGGTCGTACGAATCATAAGTCGTCTGATCTCTTTCTTGATCGAAATCATTTTGTCTTTGGGTAGGCACAACCTCTGCTGTACAGAGTCCACTTGAAATCCCAGAAATTCCATGCATCTGGAGGGTTGAAGGACAGATTTCTCCCAATTCACCAAGAATCCTAAGTTCTGGAGAAGGTGTGTTGTCCAAGACAAATGAACCCGTAATTGGGATTGAGATTGAGACAGGAGAAGGATATCGTCCAGATAAATTATTAACCTGACCCCTCGTGTGCGCAGGAAGGCAATCACCGGCTTTAGTACCTTTGTGAAGCACCATGGAGCAGAGGACAGACCAAACGGTAGACATACAAACCTCCACTTCGTTCCTTGCCACTGAAACTGCAGTAGGTTTTGGTGCGCTTCCGCTATCTTGACCATCCAATAAGATGGTAGTAGGATGTCCCGAAGGCAATGAATACCCTCCATTTTGAAATGGTGATATTGGACAAACGCATTTAGGGGTCGGAGATTTATTACTGGGCGTACTCCACCCCCTTTCTTTGGAACCAGAAACAGGTTGCTTACAAACCCTTCTGTGTCCCATGGGATTTGTTGAATAGCGTGTTTTGACGCCAAATCTGCAATCTCTGCCGAGATCATCTTCTGGTGGTCGCTGGCCATGTTTAGTTCTCGAGGGAACTGCACCTGAGTAGGGTAAGAGACTAGCTCCATCAGGTACCCCTGTACTGTATTTAATACCCAAACATCTGCGGTTAGAAGTTTCCAAGCATGGTGAAACAATGCCAATCTGCCCCCCACTTTTATATGGGAAAAATGGAGATACTCGGTACTCACCATAAGGTCGTCTGCCTGAGACAGACCCCCGTGGTCCGCGGGAGTTCCAGGGCGTCCACGAGATGGGAAGAACGGGGTATAAGTTCGTTCTGGTACCGGTCTCTGGGTATTAAAGGAGCCTCTGCCGGCTCTAAATGAGCCACGGAATCCACGGCCGGATAGACGGCTCCTAACTCTACCGGCCCATCCAAAAACCCGAGGTGCAAATACTCTTTTTAGAGAAGTCTGAGCTTTGTCAATTGCTGTAAATGTTTTAACGTACAGCCCAAGATCCTTGATAAAGGATTCACCAAAGAGTAAGCCTTTAGCGGCTGGCCCCGGCTCATTGGTCGCCATACTGACCAGTTTGGGCTCTATTCTCATGAGAATCGCCTTGCGGCGTTCGGTTGCCATGGCTGTATTGGCGTTACCCACCATGCAGACTAACCTCTGCAACCAGCCTTTCGCTACTTCGAAATCGAAGTCATTCTCACCAGATTGGGCAGATTCCACTAACTCATAAAGTTTGGTGATGGGCCCCAGAGTGTCCAGGAACTTGTCCTGGCAGTTCCGAAGGGAGAAATCCAAACCTTTCCTAGGTTTCCAACCCGACTTATTCAAAAATTGGACCAATTGGGGATCCACGTCAGGGGTTTTTCCCACTGAGTCTGGAAGGAAAGGCCGCGGGCATTCCGCCCGTAGCTTGTTACGTCCTTCCTTAGATAAAGGTTTTCTTACTCTTAGCGCGAGGTACCTCGCAATGTGCTCAGGCGGCTCCCATTCCGCCGAGCGAGGGTGACGGAGGTTATCTGGGTCAAACAACGGGTTACCCAGAGGGTCCCGCAAATCGTCGCCCTCGCCCGATACGGCAGGCTCAGTGCCCTGAGCCGTAGCCTTCTGGGTCGCAGTGTGAAATTTCACCTCGGACCCTGAATCGGAATATTCCGCACTATAATGGTCCATGCATAACTCATCATACTCCTCCTCCAAACTCCGGTCCGAATCGGACGAGTCCTCTTGGGCACGTGCCCACTTCCAAGATCTGGCCGATTTTGCCCGGCCAGGGGCTCTATTGCGCGGTGGTATCGCGCCATCCTTGACAGCCTGAGGCGTGTCAGTCATTGCAGGCTGAACCTGCAGTTCTGGAGGGGAGGCAATATGTTTGCTTTTCGTCAAGGCTTTACGTCCCGGTTGTACCACATTAGTGGATCCAGGATTTAGTGTGCTCTGAGGGCCACAACTCTGAGACTGTATCAGCGCTTTGGTTACCGATTGTGTGATAGAGGATGACATGACCCCCATCGCGGAGGCTAACGCCTTGTTGATGGATTGTGCCATGGTAGAATCGAGGAGGGATTGAAATTCCTCCGATGCCATGAGGCTGGCGTCATCCTTACATGCCCTGTCTGAGGGGGAAACCCCTGGTGTAGGACACACAGACCCTGCAGGTCTTTCATTCTGATCTTGCATTTTAGCAATAATATAAACTCACAGGGAATAAAACACCCAAGTCCACTCAGAGTTAGAATTATAGGGCCCAATAAGGTAATGCCACTAGTAGTAGCTAATGGTTAAGAACAGTAACTGAAATGACCTGTAGGGAAAAAATATACTAGCTAAGGCTAAGGACAAAAAGGGTGTCAGGATAGAGTAATCCTCCACACCAACACTTACAGTTTGACCAGCAAAGACAGCAACACAGTAAATAAGCACAGGATGGGTCTGGGAGTGCGCCAGGAGGGTAGGAGAAACCGTTATCCACATACAGAATCGGTCCGCAGCAATTTCCCGCCGAAACGTACTTAAAATGGCCGGCGCGAGAAAATTTACATAGGCGGCGACATAAACCAAAAAGATGGCCGCCGCGGCACGTACTGCGCATGTGCGGCCGTTAGGAAAAGGGGAAAAACCGGCAAAAGAGCGTTTGCGCATGCGCGGACCGGCAGAAAACCGCGGAATAGACCGCGACCAAAACAGAGAGCGGCTAAGGAGAGCAGCTAAGGGCAGCCCTGCTGCACCCACACAAAAACGGAAACGAGCAGGGTAAAGAGTCTAACACTACTGAAAGGGGGAAAACCTCAGGGTCCCAGAGACCCCTATTAATAGGCAGCACTCCCAGACACCAGTATTAAATAACCAGTAATAACAGTGAAGTATAAAATAAGCATAAACATACACAATGCTAAAATCTTTTACCCAAATACACATATATGTATGAAAAATCACAGGAGTAGCAAGAGATGAAGTACTTAACTTGTCTGAGGGAGCAGCAAGAAAGAGGAGGAGTCAAGGAGCACCACACCCATATGGATAATACTGGATGCTGATTGGTGCCACTGTTACCAAGCTGTTGTTATGTTTTTTTATATGATTCTCTCATACTTCCTTTTCTTGCTGCTGGGAGTATAATAAAGAAAGAGAATGCATAATAGGAGCCTCCGTGTCTTTAATAAAATTTAAAATCATCCTTGATATTTATTTTATCCAAGGGCATGGCTTTTCTACATAATAGTCACCAGTTGTGACTGACTCAAAGTGGCCAGGTATGATTTAAATAGAAAGCTGGCTACCTGTAAATAGAATAGCAGATTGACTACTTACCTAGCTCAGATTTTATCCAGAATTTCGGGTTTGAGCCTAAGATGCTCACCGTGCCCTGACTGGAACAGCTACTGGAAAATGAATAAAGCAATTTGATTAGTTGGCATAGCCCAGTCTAGCACATTGCTCTTCAGTGCTTATGGTATTTTTTGACACAATCTTCAACTTTTGTAGATGTTTTTATTTTTATTATTTTGTTGTTTGTACCAGTTACCAAGGTTTTTATGTACACATGTGACAAAAATGAACTCATCCGCATATATATATATTTAGTGCTTACTTATGAACGTCTCCATTATTTGAGCATATAACATATTTGGAAAGGCTGTCACTCCCTGTTATGGTATCATATGTCTGTCTCTCCATCAGTTTATGTTATGGAAGTCATTCAACAAAGGAAAGTGCATGCCTCAATAGGTTACAATATGCATGTTTTATTTACTCTTAAGGAATGTTAATACGAGGACATTATGGAACTGAAGCCAGCATTTGCAGATTGTTTAGTCTGAGCAGAGGAAGCGAAGTCACTTCGGTTGTATTTAGGTCAATTCATATTAAAACATTTTTCCAATTTCAGATAAAGATCACAAGGTCGTGAATCTTAACGTTGTTTACTCAGTGAACTGTTCAGCGCTATATGTGTTCACTCTTGTGTTTATTCTGTGTCTGGCTTGATTGTAGAATATGCTGCTGTACAGTAGAAAGTGTGGCAGTCAGATATCGGTGCCTATATGCTGAGTCGTATGAGCTCTGGTTTACAATTGTTTGACAACCCTTGAGTCACTGGAGAAAGGACAGCAGAAAAATACATGGTTTAAATTTCACTAGAATTTTTATATTGATAATATTCCTATTTCTAATGTCCAATTTTTTCATTCTCCTGTATGTCTCGCAGATCGATTAGTCCAAAATCTGAATCATTTTTGTCTTGGCTCTGTAACATCATCATTCCCCCCCCCCATTATTGGACATTTTTTTTGTTTGCTTATTCTAACTGGAGACAGGAACATTAAGTGGTTTTGTTGAATAAACAGTGAATTGAGACTGAACTGGAGCCAAATTGAAAAATTCCGACTAAAATGGCCCAGAAGTGGCTTTACTGAGTCGCATGCCATTCCCTGTTTAGTGGCCCCACTGGATTATTGAATGAACTTTAGTGAAACCAAAATCATAAATTTTTGGCTGAAATAGCTGCACTGGCCACATTGCATAGTTTCAGCTGTTTTTCTAATTTGGCTATTTTCACTTGAATATTGCCTTTCATATTTCAATTCCCCACAATTCACTGCTGAGTGAATTAACCTCTTTCTTTCTTCCATGAATTACAGCGAGTTCAGAATCGAATTGAAAAATATAGGTCAAACTAGCGAAGATGTAAAAAACGCAGAATTTTCTTGTTGTCAAATTTGCAATTCTGTTTTCAATTCACTACAATTCACTGTTTAGCCTCTAACCCCCTCGGGCTTTACTACCAAAACCATCTGCAGTGGAGTGATTCTCTCCGGATATTATTTATCTAATGTCAAAGAAAATAAGTAATTTTGAAAGCAACCAGATGTTTCTATTGTTAAAGCAATAGAAGGAGGGTTTAGCTTTCAGGTTTAAAGCCTGGAGATTGTGAAAACTGATCACCTTGCTGGCTTTGCGTGCAGGAACCCAGGGTCTCAATGAATTCGCTTCTATATCTATTCCCTCTGAGCTGCAATCAATATAGTAATGAATGATTAATCTCCAAGCTCCGTGACTGCATGCAGAATATACATTAGTCAAACTGAGTACAGGCTAGTGGCGTACATTATTATTATCATTTGAAATAATAATTAAATTTTTTTTAAAACTAATAGTTTTCTATAAATTGTTGTGTCAGATAGCATTAAACTGTAATCTATTTTAATCTCCTCTGTCTCTGCAGAATACCCCCATTAACACTGCATCAGTCTCATAGAGCAAGCGAGTTCTCTGTATACTGTACACGTGCATTATGTAGAATGTGTGCAATAATGTATCTGTAATTGTACTGTATATGTCTCCTATTATGTATGTGCTCTCTATACTTGAAAACAAGAGACATCTCAGTGTATCCTTCCTGGATAAAAAAAAAAAAAATCATAATAAAATTAAATGTAAAAATAATTTAAAAAAAAATATATATATATCTTTATTTACATTTCTTTTTATTTATTATTTTATATATATATATATGATAAAATAATAAGTAATTGTATTATATATATATATATATATATATGTGTGTGTGTGTGTGTGTATATATATATATATATATATATAATAAAATATATATTATAAAATAAAAAAAGAAATGTAAATTTCTTACACACACACACATACACATATATACATATATATATACACTCAATAAATCAATAACTATCTGGCTGGGTGTAATGCAGAAACTTGGTAATCTTGTGCCCAACCTCTCCCTCTCTCCCCATCTAATGATCACACTCCTCCCACTAGCTTCTTGTGCTTTTTCTAGAAGTTGACACCTGAATGGATGCCAAGCCCCCTTGGGTATATAAAGGGGAGGCACACGCAGACAAGTTCACAGTTCTAGACTGGTCAGGAATTAAGGAGGACTGCAGACTCAAACCATGGTTGTTCCCAGACTCCAGTGCTTTGTCCTCTACCTAGCCTGCATCCTGTTTAAAAGCTGCCTGGCTTTCAAGAACGATGCCACAGAGATACTTTATTCACATGTGGATAAACACGTGGAGGAGAATGCCAACAGCAGCACCCAGAACCAGGCTCGCCATGGAGGCAGACACCCCACTAACTCTGCTCAGGACAGGACCAGTAAGTCTATGACAATCTATTTACTAAGTCCACATTGTGATTAACCCCTAGGAGGGACACTGAAACCAAAGCTCCACTTTTGTTTTTAAATGACACGACAGACACAACATTCTAAACAAGTGATTACCTAAACACTGTCCCTTATAGAGTTAATGCAATGCATATCAATATTGCAGAGCCTTTAACCATGTAAGTGCCAGGCTGGTATTTGTCATCATTTTTTTTACACCATATTTGTATATTTGAAGTGATTTCTAACTGGACAAGCTGATATTTTGTAGATGTGTAACATAAATATTAAGCACAGGGTTTATTCTGATTCTATAGTGTATACATTGCCATTGTGTATTTATCAAATATTAGCTGAAAAATGTAATGCTAATAAGAGAACTTACATTGTTATTTAATACATTCGAAATCATTAGAAGTGGTTACTGGCTGGTTATGAGCTGTCTGACACTACAGAGTTACATCCGTTCATACTTATAGGATTACTGAATGGGTTAAATATACATTTATAGCACAAGACTGTGTTTTTTATTATTATTTTTTTTAATATTTGTGTGTCCCCCCTCTCTGCCTGCAAAATGGGGCTCCAAAAAGTCTGCCTTCAGTTTCACTTTCTGAACATGAGTGACTGCACATTTGACATGTTCTTTAAATGATCACTTTAACTCCTGTATTGAAGGATATTTTAATATACAGTACTGTGTATACATATATCGACTGTTAGGCAATGTTGCCAAACAGGAAGGTACAGGAGGATACTCTATGTTGGGGTTTATTAACTAAATGCCGAATTGTAGTGGTTTGAAAATCAAATAAAAAATAGGTAAAAATGTTCATTTTAAAAAGGTTTTCTAAACAAAAAGTATAGTCAACGATTAGCTATTTGAGATAATGTTTCAATTCTGTTTTTTAATTCACTCTGCAGTGAATAAACCTCTATTAGTGGTTTTTTGTTTGTTTTGTTTTTACTTCTAAGTAGTGTAGAGCTATCAGTGGTCTCATTGTGTTCTGTAATGAATAGATGAGTTAATTTATGGTACTTGTATCCAGCACTATCTGTAAATCATGCAATTTCCCCATCAGGTGATGTGTGAGAGATTAATGTCTTAATTAACAGTATCAAATACCTGTTGCACATTAATCCCTATTTAGATTCCTGGTAGCTCTGTACTGGAATAATTGGATTAGAAAAAATAATAATAAAAAAATGAGCATGGGAGATATTTGTATCAGGTCTAGGAGACTTTACTGGAAAAATATTTACAGTTAATGAATGTTTCAATCAATACATCATTAATGTAGGTATTACTGATAAGAAAAAAACAACAACAAAAACAATTCTGAATTTTACTTTTAATTCATGGTTCTTACAAAACAAATAATAGTATTGAGGGGCATATGGTCATTATTACCAATAATATGTGCATAATCAGTAATATATTACATTTTTTTATATTTACTTTTAGTCCAATTCTTTGTAGGCTATACCAGTATGTATTTAACTACTTTTTAAAAATATTTTAACTCTAAGAATAAATAGTTCTATCACTAAACATTAAATTGTAGAAACCAGAAAACTGAATTTGTAAATTTAGACCAGACTCTCTCTATTTATAGAGGAGCTGAAGATTTTTTTTTTTTTTGTCTACATTAATTTTTTTTTTAAATCCACTATAATTTGATGTTTAGTGAATAAACCCCTTATTAATGCTCTCCAGCTATTGGCTGACTATACATAATATTGGTAAATGGTTGAGGACTTAACATGGATATAAAGAAGTTGCTCTAAAACAAGTACCCATGCATCCCACAAAACTCAGGTGTTAAAAGTATCCTTACTGAAACTTACTTTGTAATACCCTAAATATAAACTGTTGCAATTGTGCAAAGACAGTAAAGACTGGTTTGGGGATGACTGCACAATGCTATAGTGTAGAACTTAGAACTTCTACTATGGACTGGCAACATGAGGTAAGTAGCCCACAGCAGGTAGATGTGATATATCCATAAGGAAGTGTTAATATAATATGTTAATGTAATATCTCTCTAGACTTTAGGGTTGTCTGATCCCCCTTATATTCCTGGACAGAATTACATGTTAATAGAAACAGCAGCCTTAGTCAAATCAACTGGTCTAGAAGGGTTCCAAAAGGAGCTGCCTTAATAGATTATTTCCCTCCTGCAGCATGTGAATTCTCTATACGGTTTGTGTGTGAGGGAGAGGGGGGGGGGCACTTTTAGCAATTGCCCACCAGAATGTGTGACTTACACTATCCAGGATCTGACATCTCTTCTAGATCTGAATATATAGGTTATTCCATGACCTGAAGTCCCTGTTCTTGTTTCAGAGAGAGCTATCCTACCTTTGTTACAATTTAGAACATCTATTTGCAGACTTCCTTTCCCCTTAGGAGTTCTGATAGGAATCTACATGTTTTAGCAACCCTTCTTGAGAAGCCTATCTCAGCACCTGTAGATTAAGGAAATCGATGTGATACCTCGTCCCACTCTCACCTGTCTATGGTACTTCGTAAATGTAGAGCATTATCTAGACATAAAAGACTTTGATTTCGATCTAGCATTTGTTTTCACTTCCTGGCTAAGCACTTATGAGCTGAGGCCTCTGGCTAAAGTAAACACTAAAGAAATCTGCCACCTTTTTTCTTCGCCTTCAGCAATGTTACAAATTTTACTCGTCTGCTGAGGAGGTTGAAACCATGGATTACAATATACAAGAATAATGTTTGGCCCAGTTCCCATGGCACATCAATCACGCAGTGCACAAAAAGTCTGCTGTGATGAGGAAAATAGAATCTTACCATAAATTTATAGTGACGTGAAATTGGCAAGAGAAAAATCAGTGTTATAAAGAGCAGTAGACAAAGCCTAGGGAATAAAATGAGCATTCACAAAGTCAGGGCAAGACGTTGTCTGTATCCCAGGAAGAGACTTATTAATGGGATGTTTAGACTTTATTTAACACCCTTTATTTACATCCATTGACTTGTTAAGTTCCAGACAAAGCAATGCACCTTATTTGGCTGTCAAACGGTTAATTCAGGCACCTTTTTGAAGGAAATGACACTGATAATTAAATTAAACATTTATTTTATACATTTATATGTATGTTTATCACACATTTAACAAACGTGCACAGTGAAAATGAGTGCAAGAGATTGTCTACCAGTGTTAATGTTTTGATAACGTTATTACTTAAAAAAAAAAAAAAATATTAAGAGATAAAGGTTTTTCAAAAGAAATATACCGTATATATATATAGTGCTCTAAAATGTATTCTATATATCTTTCTAATCTCACTTAATTAGTGAGAATTCCCTATTAAACATTAAAACATCAAATATAAACAGATCTTTTTCCCACATCTCGTACGGAAATAATTAAGACAAGATCTCTAAGGGTGTGTCGCATTTCCTCTGTGAATGTAGACATGATGTAGATAGATTTCGGAGACATGCAGTGGAGAACTAAAAAAAAAAAACACAAAAAAAACAACAAAATAACTTTGGGTTTGGTTACAGTTGATGTATTTGAAGGAAAGCCCTAATGCCAGAAATGCATACCATAAAGAATACTCTTGAAACCTGGGAGATAGCATTGTCTAAACAGTGTTAATCATCCAGCTCTCTTTGAATTTTAACTCATTCTTCATACTTCTAGGACCAGACTAAAAACATGCTGTAATGTTGGGCTATTTAAATTTCAGAGCCCCTGGTTTATGCTATGAAAACCTTTTTATAAACCCATTCCTTACCAGTAATTTAGTGGCGACGCTGCCTGGTCAACCACCATGTCCGGGCTTGAAGACCTTTTTGCCCAATCACATGCTTCTCATTGAAAAGCATTATGGACTTAATGTGCATGCACAGCAATGCACCAATCAAATGCTTTCGTCGGTGAAGAACCAAGTCAGACTTTGTTCTTACTGCGTAAACACCCTCAGGAAGACAGTCACTAGAGATGTGTTTAATCCCACAATGAAAAAATTGCTGTATCTCCAAAATAGTAGTGTTTTTTTTATTTTGGCAGGAAGAACTGTGGGGCACTGCACTCAGACCACTTCATTGATATGAAGTGGTCTGGGTGATTATAGTAGTCATTTAGACTCCAGAGCTGAAGGTATTTATTCCAATTGTAAAATCACTGTAAAGGATACTCTCTTGAAATTCGCTGCCTTATCAGGCTACATTCCCCATGATTTTCAAACTGTCTTAGGCTGTAGCAGAGAATTATGGAAGCTGTAAAGCCACCAACAGTTGACAACTGACTTCTAAACTATATTCCAAAATAGCCAAGTTGGGGGTTGGGGGGGAATCTGTAAATGAATTAAATTATATAATTTATTCCAATTTGCCAATTATGGATTACACTTTCCAGGTTGATTTAAAACCGGCAATAGTTATTGAATAAACCCTTGAGCTAATTTAACAGGTTTACTCAATAAATTTCAAATTGTAGCAAATGAAAATTCTGTCTGTCTGGCAAACTTTAGAGAGCCAAGCTGTAACTATAGCAGAGTTACAAAATTTTTCCAGATCATCCATTTTTTGCTATATTTTGTATATTTTGCAATTCATTTTACTGAATGATAATGTAAGAAATCTATATTTTTTCATCTATAAAATGTGTTTTATAGTTTATGTGTCATATATTACCATATGCCTGTCAAAAGAGTCAATTGTGGTTATTCATAAAATCTGAATTGGCTCTAAACGGACCAGAGAATTGCAAATGATGGCACAAACCCAAGCTGTAAAAATAGTTGATATGCTGATTTTTTTTCCCCATTGGGTATTCTGTTCTAGTTCAGTGAAAACCCCCTATTATGTTATATCACATGGCATTTGTCTGGTACTTCATAGTTTAAATTGACGTGTATGTGTAAATATTTACATATTTTTTGTTTGTTTTTTAAATTGACTAATTCTTTCTCTTCTTGTTTTTGTCTTTGTAGGTTCTCACCAAGTGGGATGCAGGGAACTGAGATCCACAAAATATATATCTGATGGTCAGTGCACCAGTATCAGGCCACTGAAAGAATTGGTTTGTGCCGGAGAATGCCTTCCTCTTCCAATTCTGCCAAACTGGATTGGTGGTGGCTACGGACTCAAATATTGGAGTCGTAGAAGCTCCCAGGAATGGAGATGTGTTAATGACAAGACCCGCACTCAACGTATTCAACTACAGTGTGAAGACGGTACCAGTCGAACATACAAAGTCACAGTGGTCACGTCCTGCAAGTGCAAGAGATACACAAGGCAACACAATGAGTCCAGCCATAACTATGACATAGCCTCTCCTGCCAAACCCCTTCATCCACATCAACATCATCATTCCCAAACTAACCGAGATCGGAAAAGACTTACTAAGATCAGCAAGCACATTTCAAGTTAGAGAAAAACAGTGCCAAGACTTTGAACTGAATTGTACTCAAAAACAGTGAATGTTTGTCCCAGCAGTCTGAGACTGATCTTTCTCTCTTTTTTTTCCGTAATGGAAATATTAATGTTATTCAGTTATGTAACCAAGGTCTTTTGACATGTGGTGAACACACTTTCATTCTCCTCTTTCACATTGTTTGAAGGACTGTTTTTTTTTTTTTGAGAAATTCTAAATTTCCAGAAAATGTGTTGACATTTTTTTTTTTAAATTGAAAGCTATTATCCACAAAGAACTGAGGTGCTTAAAATAGTTTAAAACAAATAATATAGGAGAATTATAAGTCAAAATAATTTATGAAGTTTGGATTTTTTTACCCTTAGCTACACAGGTTTATAACTGAATATTATAAACAATATTCTAAATCAGCATTTAATTAAATAAGAATAAAAATATAATGAAATATTTATTGCTCATTGTAATTATATAGTATCTCCCATGCCAGCTTGGGTTTCCATAAATAACCGTGACTAATAGTGCTTCTGGCACTCGGGAGGAATTCAAAGCCTTTGAATGTGATTGTTCAACTGTACAGTACATTATATATATTTTACAGCTTTTTTTTCATGTATCAAAGTATTTTCCTACAATTTGTAAGTAGAATTGCCATCTGCATTTTTGTAGATACTGTAAATTAATTATGTAGTATTTGTGTTATATTTTTACATTGTGATATTTTTATTAGATGAAACATTTGTTTTGAATGTTTATTAAAAGCTACTCTGTGCAATCAAAAACTTACATCCTTTATTTTATCCATTTCTGTTGGAACCATCATTTTAAAGTCCAATAATTCTGTAATTGGGATTGGGAGACAAAGTACACGTTAACATCATTTGTGGAAGAGACACTATGAAATTCATCCAAAGAGGATATTTATACAACATTTACCAAGCAAACTGCTTAAAATAATTGGTAGTGATGTCTAGGAAGAAATATTGTATGTCAAATTCCTTGATGTCAATGTCAAAAAAATGATGTGTACTTGAGTTGGCAGACAGTCTAGTAATGGAATAATGTATGTGTATCCAGCCTATGTCGCCAAGAGGAACAAAATAGTTCAGTGATTCTATTGTGGAAATATAATGGTTTTAATCCGACATCAAAATGATCGGAAACTTTGTAACTATTTTTAGAGGCTTGTCAAAGGCCCACTAATGACAACAAATTTGCCAGGTCAGTTTTGATGTCTGAATGAATGGAATTACTGAATTATTCTTTTGCTAATGATGTCAGTGTAGTCCATGAATGAAGAGTATGATATTCAGAGATTTTTAAGAAAAAACCCACGGTGGTAACAAAGATTACCATGAAAACCTCAACACCAGGCACACACTTCAAATACCCTAAATACTTAATACAGATTAAATACAAAATAAGAGTTGCCAATAAAAAGCACTGAAACTAGAACATTTTGTGACGTTAGATGCTGGAGAAATTAGGGGCTATACAGAGAGAGTAGATGACGTGGATTATCCTTTCAGTGAAGAAAAGGGTAAAACTGTAAAGTAGTTAAATAATGCTTTGGTTGCACATGAATTTATATTAATCAGTAAAATCAATTTAAGGTTTTAGAATAGATAGGGTAGATTGGTTAGTAGACTTATGTCATCACAATCTGTCTATAGATTTAGGGCTCTAAAACATATAATGGTTTTCAACATCGAATCTGTGCAAAATGTCATCTAGATTCACCAATTCTTAAAAAATATTTTTAACACTATGCACATCCATGACATGAACATCATTGTGCATTCTTCAACAAGTGGCTTTAAGCAGGTAATACTACTTCAGCTCTATTGCTGTTAAAGGTTTATTTAACAGCATTATATAATATGATTACACACTATCCGCCCACAACCCACTCCAAATAATATTTAATATATTACATATTGATTAAAGCACAAGAAGTAATTGCAACCAGCCATTTTAAATACCAATTTTTGATTAGCTATGGAACTGCATTAAGTGCATGTACATTTCTGCTGCCATTTTATTACACATTCCAACAGACACCAGGATTTTCCATCCCAATACCAATGAGCAGGATATCTCACTATTTTTTATTTGGATTTACTGAATGTTATAAAATAGTTCTCCTTATTCAGCTTTTGACGAGTGGGAAGTCTAGGAATTTATGTATAAGATTAATAAATGGGAATGAAGCATTTTGTAAATTTACATATTTTATTTTCTTGTGTATCCATGGACCACAATACAAAAATGTCCTACATTAATGATACCTATGCATTCTGTGACGTGTACTAATAGGTATGCAATTATATATATAATGAACAACTAAAACTGAATTTCTCAAATTAGGGTATGAATACGCCAAGCACACAGCAAATATGTAAATATTTACAGCTATTGAGCCACTTGGAGACCTTTAAAAATGTTACCTTTCAGGAAAAGTCAACTTTATATGTTGTGGGGCAGGGCATATTTAATAACCACTAACTTTTTCAATCAATTTAGGTCTGTTTAAGATGGCAGATTGAAGTCAACCTTTCCATATTTTTGTCCACTAATAGCCAAGTATGGGGAAACTTTAGACTTAAACATAAAAAAAAACAAACACAATGTGTCATCCAATTATGGATACCCAGTTGATGCTAATTGGCTGGTAATGAGAGAAGCCAATCAACACTAAATGCTGCCCATGAAAAGAATTCACTTAATAAATATATAATAAAAATTAGCCAATACATTAAAGTTTAGGTATAAAACAACAGGGTTCTCTTGGAATATTAATGGCACAACATGATTGCTGTAGCAGACCTACCAATCACATTACTTATTCAGTTCCAAGACACTAGGCTGTTATGATAGACTTTTCATGGTGCTCGTATTATTTTTTCTTGCCCATATATGCTAGACTTGGAAGAATTAAAAAAAAAAAAATCTTTATGTATATGTAAAGACTGACAATGTGTGAGTTATATTTAGTAAATTAATTTATTTTACTAGTGGGCATATGGTGACAGAATACATGAGTATTCCGTTGGCACTTGTAATGCATACTATTAGTGAATAGATAAATGACCATTCACCTGTCAGATGTCATAGGTGTTACTGCCAGGGAGCAGGGCACCATCAGGCTCTTGATTTAGAAAGAGGTTTGAGTAGTTAGGAGAATGGGGTCCACGATTAAAGCACATATTTATTATTGGACTAGGGAGATCAATAAGCAGGGAAACATTTGTATAGCAGTAGTAGTAGTAGTAGTAGTCAACTTCTGAACAAGATGCAACCTTAATAATAAAAAAAAATAAACAGTAATTATACACCCACCCTCAAAGTTAAATATTTTCTAAAGCACATACCTGGAATATATTGCTCATAAGACTATATATATATCGAAATCTATAGAAATTATAGGCATGTAACCAATGCCACAGATCCTTTCTGGACAACTCGGTCGGTGATCAGTCTCCATCTGAAGAGATGGGATGTGAGACCATACTTTTTACTAAAACTCAATCTGCACTCGGGAAATGTTCCTGTAATTGTGGAAGTGATTAAGGAGAAGAGTAGGCCTGCTATTAAAAGCTTTGCCTTAAGCCCAGCAAGCAGAATGGCTATTTGGATGTCATGTACAAAGAGGTTGTAGTAGTTGATGTGGGCCATTATGAACATGGCAAAACTGTAAAGATGTCTGTAATGAAGGAGGTACGGCAAGTCTATCCAAACACAATCATCTGCTTCCTGCACTTAGATCCTTGAGGATCACTGTTTTAAACAGAGCTTTGCTTTTCACAAATAAATGCAAGCACTAGAAGTTCCTTGACATCCATAACACTCTGGCCTTCATACTTCATCATCAATTTTACGAGCTTTTGAAACTTTACAACCAGATATGTATAAAAAGAAAAGCTAAGATCAAAGGACCGATACAGTATACCAACTGAAAAAATATCTCTGTACGTGGAGTAAACTTTTCTTTACACTCCATAAAACCTCTAACAGTTGCCGTTGTTTTTGTTTTTTTTGTACATTATCTTAAAAAAATGAACTGTTCCTAGTTTAATCTTGACATTTAGAATTATGTTGGACTTCCATCGAGAATATTAAGGAAGTGTAAATGAATGAAGATAGCATTGGTTAATTTGACAGGGTCTGACCTAACATTGCTTACAATGATAACGTTCTTGATATAATTGTGAAAGTCATAGATATTTCCTGCAAAACAGAAACACTGTCCAAGATTAATACAACTTTCCTCAGTCACTTACTGCATCTTGGTTCGGCTATAGATAATATTTTGCACATATGCTTATCTCGTGATGGAGCCATAACGTTTGTTCTGAAAATTTACAGATGAAAAGCTATGTACATGGCTAAAATAATAAAAATGTTTAGATAAGGACAATAAATCTTTAGGCTACAAAACGACTGGTGATAGTGATAAAAATAATAGTTCATTAGCATTGAGAGAGTCATTAATTAATAAACTGTTCTAAATAAACTTCTAGACATTAACAAATTATTATTACCTTTCTGTATAGTAGCAATTAAACAAATACAGAGTTGTTAGTAAATGCCATAAAAAAATATATATTTTCTTAAATAAGAGCTATTTTATTCATTTAACTGAACACGTTAAAAAAATATCCAGAAATGTTTTCTAGCTGCCTAATGACAGCGATGTTTTCTGTGCAAAATTCTTTGTGACTCACACTCACCAAGGCACTTACTTAGATAGCTGTAAAATTGCATTGGGTGACTTTTTTGGGTAAAATGTAGCAACAGGCAAGCGGGTTTCGCCACCTTATTTTGCTATTTACCAAGAAAGCTCCGAGCCATCACTCTCACTGCAAAGTCTAACTATGAACCTATCAATATGCTATGAAATAAAAGTTAATAAAGAATCTTTAGAAGGCATGCGCATTGAAATCTAATCATCAAACAGTTATATCTAAACAATGCACACAACATACTGAGGAAGGTGAGGGTGCATAATGAAGAACTATGGGTACAGAGGAGAGAGAGGGAGTGTACAAAGTTAACACATTTTGGGATTTTTTTTTCAAGAAGGGCATGATCCATGGGCTATGCCAACAGATGTGGAAGTGCTAAGGCCTGAAATGCAATGCCAGTAGTTGACATCGGTTTGTGCAGGGTGTGGGAGTGGGTCAGTTTATGGTAATAAAGCAATCTGTAGGCTGGTTCTTGGTTTTCACTTGACTTTGAGCACTAATGGGAAATATAATGAAAGATTTCATAAGAAAAGTGAGGTAAAAGTACAAGGGAGTGCTGGCAACTTTTGACTTGATGGGCAAGTACAAATGAATGGCATTTTTTCCGCAAGAAATTCACAATTCTTTCCATGGATGGTCCTTCTTATACTTTGCAAACAATATTATGGGTCTGACAGATGGAAGCTACTGTAATCCTGAGTTGTCACATCCTATATCCCTGCAAACTCAATGAGTATGAGCTTGGCAGAAGGATGGAGCATTCACAGATATATGTTCAGGCATATGAACTGTACCTTGTTCTACCTTGTTTCTAAACAAAGTCTATTTTTGGATACCATTTTGTGTGCCCAGGCTCTCTCTTCAATATTCCACTGAGACCAAAGTCTGATCTCACTCCTAAACCAATTGCAATCACCTGAACATCATTTATATTTATTATAGTATAGTTGTCCCCAAATACAGAAACATTCCAGTGTGTCTGTCAATTCTTGGAGATTATTGCGGTTACGAGTCACCAGGCCAAACACACACTCACACAATGGCCCTGTATAATTTCTACCTGCTGCCTCACTCCTGCACTACTCTGCGTAAACGCACCTTCATTGTCTTTTAACCATCAGAAGAACTGTGCTTGGAGGCTGCACCTCACAAACCCTGCATGCTAGTGGCCCAGAGGAAGAAATTCTCTACTGCTACCCTTGCCAGCTCTTTATG